TATTTTTATTTTAATGCAAATATCAGTTATTATTTATTAAATTATAAAAATGTTTTAGAAAATGTATTATTCTTAGATTTAAATTTTTAGATACTTTAAAACGATTATATAAAAATGATTATGTTATGTATCTTATGTATATATAATATAATATGATATAATATAATATGATAATTTTAGTTAATACATTGTAACAGATTTCAGAATTAAATTGAGACAAACAATACGTAGTTATGAATCTCTTTAAATTAATTATATGCATATAGTACAACGTTTTTGATATAAAATTTCTGCTAAAATTCAAAACTTTTATGTCATATATATGTCATATATTATTTTTTGTAATTATTTTATCAACATGAATATGCCATAATTATTTTATCAATATTATAATATAATTAAATACGTCATATTTTAGATATAATTGTATTATGTATTTTCTCCCTTTTTGTTCGATAACAGTTTGGAGTTTACATGTTTATAGAAATCTATTATAATGATATTAATTGACATTATATTGATATTAAAGTCACATTACATGTTATTGACATTAACAGTGAGTTTAAAAAGTTTAAACTCTATATTCGGTGCATTATGCGCGTGCAGCACAGTGTGTAATTTTCAAAATTGTTCATATCAACAGAATCTCATATTTCACAAAGATTGTCATGTAATTTTTTAAATTTACGTAAGAAAAAAATTATACGTCATAAAATATAATGAAACCGTAAAGATTGAAGAGTAAATAAAGAGTAAATAAAGAGAGTAAATAAAGTGTCGTTAATGTTACGTTTGTTTGTGTTGTTTAAAGAGCGCGAAAAGAGAGTGAATCAATTTAAAAGTTATCTACGCTTAGGCAAATGAGGCAAATGTTGATGTAAATTTTGATTTAAGTGACGATGTACCTGTTATCCACTTGCGGATCTTGCGAGTGTCGTTGACTGTTCGGAGTGACTATGATTACTACCGCACAGTAGTCCACAGGCGGTCGGTTTACCCGGGCTCCATATCTGCATACCGTTCAGTTTGTCGCAGGTGAAACATGCCCACCCCTCTACCACGGAGTCAACTACCGTTCACAATTGCTCGTCGTTTTTAACCGTAAGGCTTGCACCGAATGATAAACAGTCGCGTCAGCCAACGAAGCAGTGCAATAACCGAAAATGAAATAGACGCAAACGTTATTGCCAAAATACCTGAATTTCGAATTTATTGTCAAAACTTATAGACATGCATATGCATATGGTAGATACATGCTAAATTAAACTGGCAAACACTCCAAAATTTACTTTGGACATTTTTTCTGAGAAAAATGCTTGTAAATTAATTTTTAAGCTAATTAATTTCTAAGTCACTAATCTTTAGTTATCTATGTCAAGTAATTTATATAAATTAAGCTTTAGGGTTAAGTGAGTATAAAAATTCTTTATTTTTGTTTATTTGATCTTAATAAAATTTTAATTCATAATAACATAGCTGTAGCTCAAAATTAAAATATCATCTCAATGTACATTTTTTTATTTATGGATTATAAGGTAATGAATATTTCTTTATTGATACAGGCAAATCATATAAAATTGTAACAAACATTCTACGAGTGTTTTATGGCGCTTTATAAGTAGTATTGATATTCTTTATTACTACATATCTTTATGCCTTTCTCTATAAAGTGCTGTCATCTAGCGAACATTAGAGCAGAAAAGAGAGAAAAGAATCGATAAAGCATAAATTTTACAGACAATGAAATAGTCCTTTTTATATAACATATAAAATTATGAATAATTTCTATAAAAAAAAAAACATTTATATTTAATAATACAATCTTCTCTTATTGTTATCTTTCGTTATATCTTCCTCTCTACAAAGTGTTGTCATCTGGCGGAGAGCAGAAAAGAGAGGAAAGGATCGATGAACAAGTCGGCAAAGTATCAGCAGAATGTAATCAACAAAAAGTTAGTACTAATTTCAAAAACTGCCAAAGCTTCTTGAAATTTAATCAAAGAGTGCAAAATTCTAAATTCTTTTTGAAGTGAGTGGAATAGCAAAAGAGTATAATTAGACGAAAGAAGACGAGCAAATTTCTAAGTTAGTTTCAAAAGTGTCAACATTGCTATTTCAAAAGTTTTTATTTATTTACAAATTTTCTTTTATATTGTCTATAGTGTGAAGACTACGTTCTCTGAAAAGAGGCAAGATGACTTACCTGACAATTTTCAATCTCAAACTTTCATTAATGATACAAGTTACAGATGCTGCAATATGAACGAACCGCGTTTCTAAAGGACACAAATAAATCGATCATTGGTTTTGGATTGCGTTTCTTGCGGAACATAAATGTTTCTCTATTTCTCACGGTTTTCGCTTTTAATAGTTTACGAGATTTCGCAGTGTGTAACAACCGATGTATACGACATCTGATATCGGGTCCGATATCCACTAGGAAGATACGTTGAATGTTTTGTGAATCCTCCATTATCGATATCCACATAAAGGACCCAACTCCACCACATTGATGATTGCAAAAATACTTACTGAAATACTTCACGAAAGGAAAATTATACATTAAAGCGGCATAAACTCCAAAATAAAATAATCTGTATGATTTATTTGTTGTTGATGAAATTTTTTTCCCCTTTTATTAAAAATATTTGAAAAAAATTTTAATGTTCTTGAAAGCCGACTACTACGAAACTGTTAAGTGTTAAAAATGTTGGAGAAACTTTAATTGCTGTAAAATTAAAGATTACTTTATTAATTGAAGAAATAGCAAACTTATTACACATAACATCAAGCGGTCAACCGAATGGTGAAATGTTTGTAACGAGCCTCTTAGTGCACGCGAGTAACCGCGAAAAGCGTCGTAATATCTCGCGATGTTGCGATGCCTCGCAGTAATTAGGCGCCGCTTGAAAGGATGAACGTGCTCGAAGAAGTGAACGTGCCAAGAACTGCAAGATTCCTTTTCCCTTTGGCATGTTATTAAAAACTAGTTCTAATTAGAGACGGTTTGCTAATTACTTACTATAACTATGCATTTTTAATAATTACTAAACTGCCACGATGCTGAATGAAAATTACAATGCTAAATTAAAAAAAAAAAGGAATGTTTATGTATTAAATGAAAAAAAAATTGTCATGAACAAAATGGCAGTATTTTATTTTTATATAATTTATTATGTAAAAGGAGTGGGAGAGGGAAAAAATTTAAATACAGTTTAAAAGACGTAATATATTTTATTTAGACATTAATGATCCATAAAACATTGTTTATATATGGGGCTATAAACAAATAACTCTCGTCGCTACCATCTAGTCGTGACGTAATAAATATTTTGTTTTACAGAGAAAAAAACGCAGGAAGAGAAGCGCGTCAGGACTCATAAAAGCTCGACCAATTTTTTCCGACTGTCGATGACGTTTTTACTTTTTCATAATTGCGATGCATTTACGAATTGTTCAGGCTATATCAAAAAATGATATACTTAGATTGTAAGATCTTTGATATGCATGAATTACAGGAGCTGTCGATGGGAAATCATGAAATAAAACAATGAAGATAATAGATTCATTAAAAATAGAATATGTTATACTTTCCTAACAGAAAAAATAAATCCACGTTCGTAATGCGTATATGATTGTTTTGATTCTCATACTTATGTTTAAATCAATAATTAATAAAATAATTTTTGAAATAAAAAATAATGTATAATAAAATGCTAAAAAGTTTATAAATATATATTTGTGAAGTATATATTTTTAAATTCATAAGCACATAAACTACATTAAAATGATTATTTGAAATTATCACATCTGTATACTAGATCTATGCATGAATTTATAAGTTAATAAACATATAATAAAAATTATAGTAATCTAGAATTACTATAATTACTATAATTTATATTATTACAATTTAACAGCCACCAACAGAGTCTCCTCCCTTCTCGCTTTCTCTATGCTACGTTTCCTTCTTAAAATATACAACAATTATTTAAATCGTGTGTAGTATGATTCATTAAAAATTCCAAAATAAAAGTGAATTAGAACGAAGCAGATAAAAAATGGACTTGCCGTTAACGATGATCGAAGTTTAAATTCGTAATTTAATTATTAATTCGCCATCAACATCATTGTTTATCGGGAGATATGTTCTTTCATAAATAATTTAAGTGGCAATCTATATTTTTAATCTACACACACGCATGTGCGATGAAAGAAAGTCATAAGATATTTCTTTGTTTTTTTAATCAACAACTGTCAATTTCGAGAACTATTTATATCCGGTATTAACGTCATAATGATTCTCAAAAAAATTAAATTTTTTTCTCTGAATTAAAAATAATAAATAATTTTTAAGATTCCTAGAGATATTAAATTGATGATTCATTAGCTAATATGTTATCCACAAATATCTTTAATATTTTGTCACTGATATGACAAAAGCACTTGTTTTTATATAGTTGAATAATAATAAACTTATACTGTATACAATCTTTTAAATATAAAATTTTCTGTGATTTACAACTGCATTATGTGGATTTGAAAAATCACGCTTGATAAATTTTAGACATTTTAAAAGCTAAAGAAAAGTGTATATTCAAAAATAAAAAAATTTATAAATTTAAAAATTTAGATCTTTAATAATTCAACGTTTTCAGGCTGAACGAATACAAAGTTTTTAAAATTTTCATGTAAAAAGCTAAGAATCTTTTATAGATTATTTTAAATCATTTTTTTTTTAAAGAAAGCTATTTTTTTGTATAAAAAGAAAAAAAATTTTAAATGTGTGTCCGAAAAATTCTAAATGTCAAATATTGTGAAAATCAAATCTGATTATTAAAAGAAATTCAACACAATTGTAACAAATTTGACAATTTAAAAATTTACATTTTAATGAATGAAATAAATACATACAGATTTAAAAATCCGCACACTGCTTAAATTATATTTATTAATTAATATTTTCCAAAATAATGTAAAGTCAATCTGACTTTTTGTAATTTTCTATTTCCATTTAAGCTAAGATCAGCTTTTAATTAAAATTTGACATGGAATTGCAAATTACAAGTGCGTAAAAAGTTCAGAACGGAACCGATTTTTTTTTTGGAAGATGATCAATATTCGATCAGCCGGCATAGACCACGGGATCTAACGATCCTGGATATAATTTGTTAGGCAATTAAGCTATATACAAACGGGTGCGTTATCCTTAAAGGAGATCGATATGTCTCGTTGGTTGGCCGGGGAAGACCGTTCCGATGAATATTCTTTATTTTTTTTTATCTTCTCTTTTAACATTTTTTTTTCTTTTTCCTCATTTACTCCTTCGCCGATAATGAACCATTGGTCAAGGCCATCACCGTTCCAGAAGTTGCCCTCGTGTTTGTGTCAGAATTTAGCTCCAAGGACGAGTCCTGTAACGTAATAAAAAAATAAACGGAAATAATTTAAGAGTGACTTAAAAAATTTTCACTTTAAAAATTTTAATATATTGATAACGCTAAAATATTATAATTTAATAAAATTATGAGAATATATCTTTTTAGGTCATATCGATGAAATTTTGAAGATGTCAAAGGTACGAATTAAAAAATTCAAGAATTTAAGAACTGTAATTTATCTGTGGTCGTTAACGGGAATCAGAACGATACGATTTATCGCATAGGAAAAAAAATATCGCGACATCACTGTCGCCGGCATTGTGGTCGTCGTTGGCGCCGACAACGCCGATTTACGACGCTCCTGTTAATATGCATCCAAGAAGAACGATTCTCTATCGTGGATGACTGCTTTTAACTGCTGTGTGGAGAGAGCGACGCCAGTCATTAGTGTCGCCATGCTGGATCCATTACGATCTTTACGCTCTTTATGATCCTTACAACACGTGATCTAAGTCGGTGTTTCTGTCATCGTGTCACTTCCGAATGTGCATCGTAATGGAAAATCATATGCCTTATCTCTTGTCGCTCAAGCCATAAGGTTCTTATTTCTTATTTATATTCATATCGCAACAGAATAAATCAAAAGACGCGAAAACAAAGGAAAAGCTAAAAATACGACTTTGAAGACTTTATTAATTTTAATTATTTTAATTATTTTTTTCTAATCGACATGTTTTTTTTTTTTTTAAGTACATGCTATGTTTATATATGTTAATATCTAATATAAAACCTTTTCAATGATTGGAACTTTTGGTAAAAAAAACTTTTTTTTTCCATCACTTCTGTCATTATCGAATTTCTTCGTACGCTACTGTTAATGCCTACTGTTTCTTCACATGCAAAGTGAAGGAGAGCCGAAGACTTACAATGCTGAGAGTATGCATGATGCATGCTTGCGCGGTGTTCTCGACGTGGATCAATTCGTCGCAGTCCTCGTGATCCAACCCGTTAACGTCAGATCGAATCTTGATCGGCGACAGAGCCGCTTCGTTGTCCGTTGACTTGCCACTGTCGGGGGACGGTATTAACTCATGTCCATCAAGTTCCTCCTCCTCCGCGCGCTCTTCGCAATCCGTAGCCTTGATTTCCTGTCATAGATTCCATAGATCAATACTGTTACGCGAGGTTATCGCAGACGGGAAACTGATTAACGAACGTATCTACATTGGAGTCATCTATCCTTACAAGAGACCAGCGCATAGCCATGACAGGAAATTGCAGCAACGTTAAGTGTGTTGCTGCGGGTGCTCATGTTGTTAATGAGCAACACGCTACGATTAATCTTTATCTTCTGAAAAAG